GATTCAGAGGGGTCAGCGCCCCAAAACGGCAAGAAAATATCCCCAAAACAAGCCAAAAGCATTCTGGAAACAACACAAAAACACGTCAAAAACACCCCCAGAAACACCCTGAAAATGGCCCCCAAAACACTCCAAAAACACGCCAGAAACACCTTATAAACACCTCCAAAACAAGCTGAAAACCAGCCTAAAAACCAGCCTGAAAACAACCCAAAAACACCTCCAAAACCACCCCCAAAACGGCCCCAAGCAGCCAAAAAACAGCCAAAATCCACATCAAAACCAGCCCAAAACCAGCCCCAAAACCAGCCCCAAAAATGCACCAAACCACCCCTGAAACACACCAAAAGCAGCCTAAAAACAGCCCCCAAACAACCCCAAAACCAGCCAAAAAACATCCCAAAACCACCCTGAAACAACCAGCAAAACCAGCCCAAAAACAGCCCCTCAAACAGCCCCAAAACTGGCCGAAAAACAGCCCAAAACCACCTCCAAAACCACCCCCAAAACGGCCCCAAACAGCCAAAAAACAACCCAGAAACAGCCCAAAACAGCTCAGCTCTAACGATTGCACACGAGTTACGTACACCTGCTCCATCCAGCAGGACTGTACAGCCATCGGCTCGACTGTCTAAGGTAACTGACATGTTGACGTGAGACACTGAGCAATATTCCATCTACCCGCTGATCCACATGGCAGGGCAGAGTAGCTCCAGGCTGACCCCGAGTGAGACATCCCGTACCCGTGACGACACAGACTGTGTGACACAATTAAGAGACGAACCTCGCTTTGACAAGATTCGATTGCAAGAATGGAGATGCTGTGGAACACCATGACCTACGGGACTACCGTCATAACGTGACTAGGCTCAAAGGATCCTGAAAAATAAAGACACTAACAAGATGACCGGTCATAAGAAGGGTCCGTCAAAACCCTGAAGATGGATGCGCGACGTCGCCGCATTCGGAAGCTAAGAACGGAATGATGCGGAAAACGAGTCCTCCTGCTTTAAGATGGATGGCTGCGGAGTACTGCTGATGATATGGCCCGGAATGAGGCCTTAAAAGAGGTCTGACCATAAAAGTCAGAGATGGGATTCCAAAGAAGGCCTGAACCTGCAAATGAAGCGACTGACAACTTTGGAACTCAGCTACACAGAGAAGACCTTCAAGAACCTAAGGATGATGCCTGATGCTTCCCATAAGCCCCTCGAGGGCAAGATGCAAAAACCCTAAGGACACAAAACACAGACGAGACGAAGGACGTGACACAGACTGGAACTGCTCTGCCCTGCACACGTGAATCCAATGATACAAAGTAAGCCCTTCCTTTGATGTGTCCAAATAACCTGTTATAGGATACCCGTTGCACCGTACTAATTTCAAAAATCCCTCTGGGCAATGCACATACTTGGACCGACTCCCAACCCCTCTCTGGGTCTTTGCCCTGCACTTATCTTTCCGAGAGCCGGGGATGCGAATCCGTCTCTGATGCAAAGGAGGGGTACCTGGGCTGGCTCAGAGGTTCCTGCTGTCGTGTGAGTTTATGGAGGCAACTATGGGAAAGAAAACCATACACAATATCCGAGTAGTGTGGCACGTGGCCCCAGCCCCGATGATCCCCCTACTCACTGTCACCGAGGCAGGTCCTCGGGTCGCTGGTTCTGACCGGAGTCACACGCTGTGGCTGTCATCTTCCGGAATACCTGAGCGAGCAAGAGAAAAAATTAGAGGGCATTTCTAAAGCTGCAGTGGATCCCTGCTCCTCCTGCTGCCTCTCCGACTCACCTCAAATGCTCATCTGCTCCCAAAGGTTAACTGGATGGCACCTGCAATCAAAAAAGCTCAATGCTTCATTGCTCATCCTTTTAATACCCGGAGATTACAAGGACAGCTCGAGAGGACCGAACCGTGTCCGTCACCTCATTGTGAGTTGGCTTCGCCCCTGTGAGGCTGCATATGTCTCCTGCAAAAGAAAACCCAGAGGCAAATGCCAGTACTGAGATACTGCCCAAGAGTATGCTGCTCCCATGGCAGTTTCTGTCTGACACCCCTTGACCGTGACCTCTTACAGGCAGGGTCCCCATCACGTTGGACTACACATTAGAAGTCTGCCTGTAAAACAAAAAAACAAGTATGTATGCAGATTTACCAGAAGTACACCGCCTGCAAAAAAGCATCTAGTTCTGTCCTGCAGTCACTGCTCACCTTGCTCACTGGGCTCACCTTCCCTCTGGTGCCTATTGTCTGCTGGGCTGGGGGCTCCACATCTTAAAAAAAACCCAAAAAAACAAAACTAAACCACCAAACCATCCAAAGGCCCAAAAGTCATGTCTTGGCTCTGACCTCACATGACAACCCACCTTCTGATTGTGCTCCTCTGGCCTCTTCTGTTTATCTCTGCTTTACATCCAGTCCCTCTGACACTGCAAAGAAATGAGTTAGCAAAGTCAGCCATATAGATGGAGGGACCTTAACTGCTGCCCAATTATCACTTCTCTTTAGACAACCCATCTGGGGTCCAAAGACAACCTGCACAAACAAACACCGACCTAACTTTAAGGTCCTGCTGTACCACTCCCATCGTCTCTGGAAAAGCTCTCGTGACTGCATGCACGCTGCAGGTAGGGGCTGCCTCCGGGAGGACCGGAGAACTGCTGCCGTGAGTGGCTAAGCCTATCGACAGGTTAACTGTAAAGTCTCCTTTCTACTCCACCTACCCCCAAGTCTACACTGCAGGGCAGAGCAGTTCCAGGCCGAACACAAACTCCAACGACACATTTCCAGACAAGTGCTGTGGTGCAACGAGGAGAGAGAACTCCAAGAAAGGAACGACTGCCAAAATGGATGTGCTGCCGCATGATAAGACAGAGGATATGGCGAGACTGAACAGAGGAGGCTCTGAGGAGCCTGAAAAGACACTCTAACAGAATGTCCTGTGACAAGAACTGCCTACAAAATTGCTAAGATGGATGGGAGACAATGCTACATTCAAAACCTTATTAGATTCTCACAAGTCCGGGGCGGTTACAAGAGATGACTGCACGGCACAGCCACCGATACAACCTGTAAGGAGGCTGTAAAAGACATCTGACCCGACACTTCTCAGATGTGATTCCGATGCACGTCCAAGCTAGTGAGCCAAAGAATGGATGGTATGGGCACTGGGCTGGGCAGTGCAGAGGTTCAAGACCCTAGGAATGATGCCTTGACATCTCCGATAAGACCTTTGAGGGCAGAAGGCAAAGACACGGTGATTGTGAATTGTAAGACACGAAACACAGACCAGACAGAGGATACGACACAGACCTGAACGGCTCTGCCCTGCACAACGTACTCCAGTGATGAAAAGTAAACTGCTCCTCCTATGTGTGCCAAGGGCCTGTTAGGGTAGACCCTTTCCCCTATGCTAATTTGAAAATCCCTCCCTCCTAACCATAAAATTGGACCCAGCTCTCATCCCCTCTCCAGGTGGTAGTCCTCCACTTATCTTTCCCATAGTCGGGGATGTGAATCCATCTTCGATGGGAAGGAAGGATGCCTGACTGGCTCAGAGGGTCCTGTGATTGCTGACTCGGTCGGCTACGAGAAAGAAAACCGAAACTGACGCAAGAGTTCGGCAGCACGTGGGCGATAACCCTGCAATTGGCTACTCATCATCCCCTAAGCTGGGCCACTGGCTCCGACCTGAGTCAGAGGCTGCTGCCGTCACCGTTTGCCGTACCTGAGTGAGTGAGGAAAAAAGTTACGTGGTGTTTCTGAAAGTACAGAAGACCCAGCACCTCCTCACTACCTCCCTGACTCAACATGAATGCTCCTCCTTTGCCAAAGGCAGGCCAGATGGCACCTGCAACCAGAGAAGGTCGAGCCTTAATTGATGAGCTTTGTAGTACTAGGAGACTGCTAATGAGGACAGCTGAAGACCATCAAACCTAATTGGCAGGTGGCTCTGGCCCTCTGAGGCTGCACACATTCTCTGCAAAGTAAAAAAACCAAAGGCAAATGTACGTACTGAGATACTGCCTGAAGGGATGGCTTTCCTGTGCTAGCTCCTACCTACTTATCTCTCATTAACAGTGACCTCTTACCGGCAGGGTCCCTGAAGCATTGGACTGTCTGTTAGAAGGTGGCAGGCCCCCTGGAAAACACAAGAAACAAAGCATGTGCACAGATTCACCACAACACCTGTAGAAGACCATCTAGTTCTGTCCTGGAGTCAATGCTCACCTTGCTCACCGGTACTCACCTCCCCTCCGGTGCCTAGAGCCTCCTGGGCCGAGGGCTCTGCATCTGAAAACAAAGAAAAACCAAACTAAAACAAGAAAATCCTTAACACATCAAGTAAACGTGGAGCCAAAAGCCACATCTTTGTGCTGACGTCAGGTGATGACCCACCTTCTTGCTCTGTTCCTCTGGCCTCTTTTCTGTTCAACTCTGCTTTACACCCTGTCCCTCTGTCATGGTAAAGAAACCCTAACCAAAGTCACCCAGATAGATGGGGAGAGCTGAAAGAGTCTCCCTTCTCTTTAGGCAAACCACTCAGGGTCACCGCCTGCAGCCAAAGACTGCAGCTGTAATCACATGGAATATCTGGGTGAACGAGAGACAAACTTAAGTGGCACATCTGAAAAGTCAGTGGATGCCTTCACAGGCATTTAGGGGGCTCTTCCCAGACACTGACTACTGGGATCTTACTGAGTATGGTGACTATAACCTGGGCTGGATTACTAGAGTGGCCACGGCCTCAACCCTATATTGGGCATTCCGGTTCTATGGGAAAACATTTTTCAGGAGATTACAAATGGAACTAATTTTTGTGTTTGTAACTTTACTAAAATAATAGGTTGTGATTTTAACTATACAATTCCAATAACTACTGGGCAGTTAACTGAAAATGACTATTTGTTGTATCGTGATGTACCTAAATTACAAATAGGGATGGATATCAGTCTCTTCCAGAAGATGCTTGAACATCCAGATACAGAAAAGATAGAGCAAGCAGGAGAACATCATCAGTGGGATATTTTTCTGGAATACTCCCCCACGGCTTCTCAAGTGTTCCATTTCCCAATACATCCAATCTTAGTATTGGTGAGTGCTGTTGCATTGTTATCATTACTCAATTTATGGCTGTGGTATAAATTAAGTACCATAATCAAAAGAGTGCAGATTGTGAGTAATTAAGTAATTAATTAATTATGAGTAATTAAGCACGAGCTGGCTTGTTCCCAACGTTGAATAAACAAATACCTTGCTGTTTAAAGATACAAAAGCCTCTGACGAGTTTTTCGGCATCACAGCCCAACTATTATCAAACACTGCCACCGTAACCCCTAAACCGTCACCCAGCGCCAGATCCGGACACCTCTCGAACACCTGCAGCAACGGTGACTCCACCACCTCCCTGGGTTACCTATTCCAACGTGTGACCACCCAATTTTTTCCTAATCTCTAATCCGAATCTCCCCGCTCTCGTTGTAAGGCCATTTCCCCCGGTCCTCACTGCAGGACAGCAGCTCTTTCCTGGTTCAAACATCGGCACAGCCACCGAACCGGGTGCGGGTCCATGGAAGCGCTTCCTGATTCTCGTCACTACCGCACTCCACATCCCCCGTCGCAAAGCGCCCTGGGAGCCCCGGGGGCTCAGCCCAGCACCGCGGCAGGGTCCCGGCATCCCCAGGGCTCCCTCCGGGCCCCCCCGCGCCTCGTTCCGGTACCGCCAGGCTCACCCTTGTCCCGCAGGCAGGACGTGGCCACGCCGCGCTGCCCCAGCTCGCATCGAGTCGCTCCAGCCCGCGCCACTCCAATGCCCGCTGCTCCAACTCCCGCCGCTCTAGCCCCCGCTGCTCCAGCCCACCCCGAGCCGCTCCAGCCCTCCCTGAGCTGCTCCAGCCCGCTCCTCTCTAGCCCCCACTGCTCCAGCCCAACCGCTCCAGCCCCGCCACGCTTCTCCAGCCCGTGCCTCTCCAGCCCCGCCGTTCCAACTCCCGCCGCATTTCTCCAGCCCGCACCTCTCCAGCCCCGCCGCTCCAGCCCCGCCGCTCCAACACCCGCCGCTCCAACTCCCACCGCGTTTCTCCAGCCCGCGCCTCTCCAGTCCCGCCGCTCCAGCCCCGCCGCTCCAGCCCCCGCTGCTCCAGCCCCGCTGCTCCAACTCCCGCCATTCCAGCCCCCAGGGCTCTGCTCCAGCCCACTCCGCTCCAAACCCCGCCGCTCCAGCCCACCCCAAGCTGCTCCAGCCCCCGCCGCTCCAACACCAGCCGCTCCAACTCCCGTCGCTCCAGCCCACCCCGAGCTCCACGTTAACTTTGGGGGTTAGACCTGCCGTTTCGTTGCTGGGCTCCCAAAGCAACCGACACCCTTTCCCCCAGAAAAGAAAGGCTCTAGCCTTTGTGAGTCAGGTGCAGTTTCGGCGCAGGGTTCCGGCAAGCTAACAAAACCCTTTCCAGGTGTACAGAAAGTTTTCCCGCTTGCACCTGACAACCAAAAGCTATAGGTTTCTTTCCTGGGGGGAATGGCTCCAATTTTCCTACAAATTACAATCCCAAAACCAAATTCGAATACGAAATCCAATACCAACTATAATACCAGTTCTCATTAAAAGTCCTTTTCTCTGTCAGGCTGCTCACCCACGCCAATTTTCAGTCAGAGATACAAACCACTTGCTTCTGCTCCGAGAGCCTTTATACCTTCTGGGATTGGACTCCGCCCTTTCCCCAGGGCCTCACGGATCCCTTTCGTCAGCCTCGAGCAGTCATTGGCGCCCCCCCGCCCAAAAACCCATACAAATGAAGATTCCTCCCAGGGAAAAGGGGTCAGCACAGAAAGCTCTGGCTGCCCACGGAGTGCCGAGGCTGCACCACCAACTGCACCTTTTCGCCTGGAAGGAGGGGCCTGACCCTCAAGTTCTCTCCTGCCCTTTGTGCACCTCACTCAGTTCTATGCGAGCAGCCGGGGCTCCCAGCCCCGGCGCCTCCGGTCTGTAAGGAATCCTCGACCGTATCCGATTTTGGTCCTCGGCCAGCCCGCCAGCCATCGAACAACCGCCCTTTTTGCCTGGAAGGAGGGGCCGGACCCTGTGGTTCTCGCCTGCCCTTTGTGCGCCTCGCTCGGCTCTACGCGCGCAGCCGGGACTCCCGGCCCCGGCGCCTCCGGTCTGGGAGGAATCCTCGACCGTATCCGATTTCGGTCTCCGGTCGGCCCGCAAATGCCGGCCCTTTCAGCCCAGAAGGAGGGGCCTGACCCTCCGGCTCTCGCCTGCCCTTTGTGCGCCTCGCTCGGCTCTACGAGCGCAGCCAGGGCTCCTGGCCCCGGCACCTCTGGTCTGGGAAGAATCCTCGACCGTATCCGATTTTGGCCCTTGTCCGGCCCCGGGCCACCTGACACGCCGACCCGCGAATGACGGCCCTTTTTGCCCAGAAGGAGGGGCCTGACCCTCCGGCTCTCACCAGCCGTTTGTGCGCATCGCTCGACTCTATGCGCGGAGCCTGGGCTCCCGGCCCCGGCGCCTCCGGTCTTGGAGGAATCCTCGACCGTATCCGATTTTGGCCGCCGGACGGCGCGCCGGCCTGCGAACGACAGCCCTTTTTGCCCAGAAGGAGGGGTCTGACCCTCCGGCTCTCGCCTGCCCTTTGTGCGACTCGCTCGGCTCTACGCACGCAGCTGGGAGTCCCAGCCCTGGCGCCACTGGTGTGGGAGGAATTCTCAACCGTGTGCAATTTTAGCCTTCGGCCGGCCAGCGTCGGTCCGCGAACGACGGCCTATTTTGCCCAGAAGGAGGGGCCTGACCCTCCGGCTCTCGCCTGCCCTTTGTGCGCCTCGCTCGGTTCTACGTGTGCGGCCGGGGTTCCCGGTCCCAGTGCCTCCGGTCTTGGAGGAATCCTCGACCGTATCCGATTTTGGCCCTCGTCGGGCCCCGGGCTGCCCGGCGCGCCGGCCTGCGAACGACGGCCCTTTTTGCCCAGAAAGAGGGGCCTGACCCTCCGGCTCTCGCCTGCCCTTTGTGCACCTCGCTCGGTTCTACGCGCGCAGATGGGGCTCCCGGCCTTGGCGCCTGCGGTCTGGAAGGAATCTTCGACCGTATGCAATTTTAGCCCCCGGCCGGCGCACAAGCCCGCGAACAACGTCCTTTTTTGCCGAGAAGGAGGGGTCTGACCCTGCGGCTCTCTCCTGCCCTACGTGCGCATCGCTCAGTTCTACGCGCACAGCCGGGGTTCCCAGCCCTGGCGCCTCCGGTCTGGAAGGAATCATAGAACGTATCCGATTTTGGTCCCCAGCCGGCTCCCGGTCGGTTGACGCGGCGGCCCGCGAACAACCACCCTTTTTTGCCCAGAAGGAGGGAACTTACCGTCTGGCTCTCGCCTGCCCTTTGTGCGCCTCTCTCGGTTCCACGTGTGCAGCCGGGGTTCCTGGCCTTAGCGCCTCCGATCTGGAAGGAATCCTTGACCGTATGCAATTTTATCCCCTGGACACCCGGCACACCGGCCCGCGAACGACAACCCGCTTTGCCCAGAAGGAGGGGCCTGACCCTCCAGCTCTCATCTGCCCTTTGTGCACCACGCTCGGCTCTATGTGCGCAGCTGGGGCTCCCGTCCCCGGCGCCTCCGGTCTTGGAGGAATCCTCAACCGTATCTGATTTTGGCCCCCGGCCTGCGCGCCGGCCTGCGAACAATGGTCCTTTTTGCCCGGAAGGAGGGGCATGAACCTCCGGCTCTCGCCTGCCCTTTGTGCGCCTCGCTCGACTCTGCACGCGAAGGCCTGGTTCCCAGCCCCGGCCCCTCAGGTCTGGGAGGAATCCTCGACCGGATTCAATTTTAGCCCACGGCCGACCGGCGCGCCAGCCCGTGAACAACAGCCCTTTGTGTCCAGAAGGAGAGGCCTGACCGTCTGGCTCTCCCCTGCCCTTTGTGCGCCTTGTTCGGTTCTACGCACGTAGCCCGGGCTCCCGGCCCCCGCGCCTCTGGTCATGGAGGAATTCTCGACCGTATGCGATTTTGGCCCATGGCTGGCTGGCGCGCCGGTCCGCAAACGAGGGCCCTTTTTGACCAGAAGGCGGGGCCTAAACCCTCCGGCTCGCGCCTGACCTTTGTGCGCCTCGCTCGGCTCTACGCGCGCCGTCGGGGCTCCTGGCCTTGGCACCTTCGGTCTGGAAGGAATCCTCGACAGTATGCAATTTTAGCCTTCGGCCGGCCGGCGAGCCGGCCCGCGAACGACGTCCCTTTTTGCCCAGAAGGTGGGATCTGACCGTCCGGCTCTCGCCTGCCCTTTGTGCGCCTCGCTCGGTTCTACGCGCGCAGTTGGGGCTCCCGGACCAGGTACCTCCAGTCTGGGAGGAATCCTCGACTATCCGATTTAGTCCTCGGCCAGCCCCGGGTCGCCCGGCTTGCCGGCCCGCGAATGACGGCCCTTTTTGCCTAGAAGGAGGGGCCTGACCTTCTGGCTAACGCCTGCCCTTTGTGCGCGTCGCTCAGCTCTACGCGCAGCCGGGGCTCCCGGCCCCGGCGCCTCCAGTCTTGGAGGAATCCTCCACCTTATCCGATTTTGGCCCACGGCCGGCGCGTCGGCCAGCGAACGACAGCCGTTTTTTCCCAGAAGGAGGGGTCTGACCCTCCGGCTCTCACCTGCACTTTTTGCGTATCGCTCAGCTCTACGCGCGCAGCAGGGGCCCCCGGTCCCACAGTCTCCAGTCTGGGAGGAATCCTCGACCGTATGCAATTTTAGCCCCCGTCCGGCCAGCGCGCTGGCCTGCGAACGACGGCCCTTTTTGCCCAGAAGGAGGGGACTGACCCTCCAGCTCTTGCCTGCCCTTTGTGCGCCTCGCTCGGCTCTATGCGCGCAGTTGGGGCTCCTAGCCTTGGCGCCTCCGGTCTGGAAGGAATCCTCGTCTGTATGCAATTTTAGCCCTCGGCCGGCCGACGCGCCAGCCCACGAACGACTGCCCTTTTTACCCCGAAGGAGGGGCCTGACCCTCCGGCTCTCACCTGCCCTTTGTGCGTCTCGCTCGGCTCTACGCGCGCAGCAGGGGCTCCCAGTCCCAATGCCTCCGGTATTGGAGGAATCCTCGACCGTATCCGATTTTGGTCCCCGTCCGGCCCCGGGCCGGTCGATGCGCTGGCCCGCGAACAACGGTCCTTTTTGCCCAGAAGGAGGGGCCTGAGCCTCCGCCTCTCGCCTGCCCTTTGTGCGCCTCGCTCGGCTCTACGCGCGCAGCCAG